CAGGAATTGCAGACCAAGAAAACAAAACTATTGTCAATGCTGGATGAGGTAAGCCTCTGTCTCCACCATGCTCCTCACTGCTTTATGAGAGATTTATTTGGTATGGATTTTGTTTTAGCTGACATTCCAAAGGGCTATTTGTTTGGCTTTTTTGTTGATTCTATAATAGATGTCCATTTTTAGTTCTCTGGGTGATTGCTTTTATTTGATGTAGCTATGATCTTCTTTTTCTCATTTTATTATTTGACCTTCTGATTATGACTTAACCCAGCTGCACTCTATTTAAAAGATCACTAAGGTTATTCTCTTCTTGTAGGTTGATAGAAGATACAAGCAATATTACCATCAGATGAAAATTGTGGTGTCATCTTTTGACATGGTAGCAGGGCATGGCGCAGCTAAACCATACACAGCACTTGCTCTCCAAACAATATCCCAGCATTTCCGCAGTTTACATGATGCAATAAATGGTCAAATTCAGGTGACTCAGAGAAACCTGGGGGAGCAAGAAACTTCATCAAACAGTCAAGGAGGAGCAATACCTCGTCTCCGCTATGTGGACCATCAGATCAGACAACAGAGGGCTCTTCAGCAACTTGGCGTGATGCGAAATGCTTGGAGGCCTCAACGAGGGCTTCCTGAGAGCTCAGTTTCAATACTCCGTGCCTGGCTGTTTGAGCATTTCCTCCACCCGTCTGTGCTTGCACTCCTGTCACTCTTTTTCTGATTATTAATTTCCAATTACTTTGTTCACTAAATTTCTCCCACATTTTTGTTTTTGACCAGCTACCCAAAGGATTCAGAGAAAATTATGCTAGCAAAGCAGACCGGCCTGACCAGAAATCAGGTAGACTGAGAATAATTGAAATAGTTGACTAGTGAGTAATGAGTAAACAATTCTTATTGAAGCTTGACCAATTTGATTCCAACCTTAGTTTTATAAATCCTAGTGAAAGGAATATTTAAGGAAAAACTATTTTCTTCTTTTCTTTTTCTTTTTTTTTTGATCGGCGGAAAAACTATTTTCTTAAAGAAGTTAAAATAAAGAAAACCTAATCTTTTGAGGTTTTGTAGTTTTATTTATTATGGTTGCTTTGGATCAGGTTGCAAACTGGTTCATTAATGCAAGGGTACGTCTTTGGAAGCCCATGATTGAGGAGATGTACAAAGAAGAGTTTGGCAAGATGGAGGCAAACTCAAAATCTTCTCCAGAAAATGCTGCAAAAGCACCCATAGAGAATTCTTCAGCATCTGAGGATGGGGGAGAAGATTTGCAGGAGACTATGACATCCAAAGCTGTTGATACTGATAGTGTCCAACCAGGACAAATCCAACAATTCAAGTCAGACAACATTTTGGATGGAGAATTGAGCAGGCCTGTGGAAAGATCAGTGTACCAAAATAGTGCTCATGGACTTCCTGGCTTGAGTGCTGGGGTAATAAAATTCTCCGTTGACCAAAGGCCTAACATGGAAGGCAGTAACCTTTATGCAGGTACAATTATCCCACCCAGCCAGAGTGGTAACGTCAGCCTTATTGCTGGTGATGCCATGTATGATTTGCCAGAGCTGAATGATTTCGGGGTCAGCAACCAGGTGTCACTTGCACTGGGATTACGGCATCATGACAACAATGTCTTCTCCGTGTCTGGGGAGACCAGTGCAAGAGGCAACAACAGGGCGCCTTCTTCCATGGGGTCTGATACAGTGGATTTTCATTGCATGGATCCCGGAAATCAACAGGAAAGGTTTGCCAATCCCCATGTTTTACATGATTTTGTCGTGTAAGAATGTCTACCATTAACTATATGGATCAGAAAAACCTACTTTGTTAGGTAAAGGCTCGCATGGATGTCAAATCCAAAATGAAACTGCATCCTTAAAGGACGCCAGTTCAGTGTCATTACTTCTCTTTGCCTGTTGTTTGAAGAAAGCCATTTAAGAACACCATGAAAGTAGAATATAGGTTGGGATTTATATGCTTTCCATTTGTAACATACAAATAGATTGGTGGAATAATAGGTCTTCTTTGTAAAGACATGTTGTAAAATTGTAGCTTTTGTGTTGTGGTGAATAAGAACCCTTGTACTGTTATACAAATCTAAAATGTAACATTGATATATATTGTTTTGAAAATATTATGAGAAGGCAAGAATAACAATATCTCAAGATTCAATTTGTGTAATCTGTACTGATTGTATTATAACATATAAGTTTGCACTCATTATGTTCATGTAACTTTATAATCTGAGATTGTACTTCTTCACTTTTTTCTTATTTGTGCGTTGCACAACAAGAGGTAAATGAAACCTTCTCCAATCCCTATTTCCTTTCCATGACAAGGTACGTGTAGAATTTTCATGATTTGGAAGTGAAATTTCTCCCGCCTACAGTGGCAAAGATTCTAAGAGAGCTTCTTTCAGGTTCAAATAAACAGAGTTATGGAACTCGAGAGTGACAAGTGAAGGAGGGCATAGGAGGAACTAGGATGGCAATCATTACTAAAGACAGCCAATCCGACCAGCCTAAAAACGCACAATCACTAAACGATTCCATTTCCTCTGCCCTACAAAACCAGCGTTCTTTCTTTTACCCGCTTTTTCCTTCTCACGAGAACCTATCTTCATTTTCTGCACAAAAGTAGTGATTTTTAGAGTGCTTTTATCATCCCATCTCTCTCCATTATAACATCTAGCAGCAAAAGGCTTGATATCCTTGTATGTTTACAGATTCACAAGCTGACAATCTTAAAACTGGGAGCGTGCAAAAGATAGTCACTTTTCCGCTTTATTACGGATTACAGTAACCCAGTTGCCAGATTTAGAAGTATTTTACATGTTGGGAGCTTTCTTGCATGGCAAACAAGAAAGAGAGAGTTTACAGTGTCCTGCGTTCATATGTACTTTTGAGCTACCCAAAGAAATGAACTACAGGCATTAAAGCTGAACGATCCAATGCTCTTTGCTTGTTTGTTGTTTTATCCTCAGGGAAAAGGGAGACCGGTTCATTTCATCCCTTTCAATGAAGTAGAAGAGGTCTAAGTATGTACTAGGTCCTCTAGCTTTTGGCTGCTTAAATTCAAACCCTTTTTTTTTTCAGCATTATTGCATGTTTTGTACTCCGGAGACAAGTGCTTTTTTTTTTTTTGGGAAAAGACAAGTTAGTTTCATTACAACCTTTTAATTGTCTTTTTCAGCTTTATTAGTTCCTTACTTTTCTTCCAATCAGGACCTGAAGTTACTACTTAACTATGATTTCTTCACCTTGTTTTCACTAAACCTGATCCCTGCAATTGTGATGTTTTTCTTGGCTGAAGTTAGTATGCTGACTCCCATTCCTGTCCAGAGAGCCACCCTCATTTTTCACCATTTTCTGCTTTTAATGCTACTCATCTGGAAATTCTAATTCTTTTTCTTCTTCTCCTTCCTTCTACCTTCATTCAATAACTTGAGAAAAGAAAAGAAAAGAAAAAAGTAGGTGGTACTTCTTTTTTTTTTTTTTTCTTTTGGTGCAATATGGTTTCACAAAATTCACCTCGAAACACATCTTCATCCATGCTTCGCCAGTTCATCATTTCCAATTCAATTTCTAGCCAAACCCGATTAGAAAGTCAGCATTTTGATGCATATTGCTCCGTTTTGAGAAGAAATATAAACACCACCTTTTCTCAGTCGTCTTCTTCTTCTCTGGGTCTGTTACCCGCCATTCATGCTCCGGGGGAAACAATGTCTAGATCCAAAGACCTTCTTCCTGTTTCTGCTGTTGCGGAGGAGCAGCTAATGATGGACCTCCCCGAAGCCGCAAATGAATCCGGTGATCACCACACTCAACGGCTCTCCTTGTCTCTAGGTTCCCGGAATTTGGTCCCGCCAGCATCATTCATGCAGGGATCCTTAAATTCAAACGTCTCCAGTCCAACTTACTTGATTACCGGAGAAGACAGAGAAGTTTGAAATCCGGCACTCAGACACATTCCCGATTACTACTCTCTTGCAGCTTCAACAAATCAATCTTTCGCTACTGCCATAGTGAGTTCAAGATATCTGAAAGCATCACAGTCCCTTTTAGAAGATATTGTCGGCCTTGACAGCAGAGACGTTGAAGAAAAGAAAATTTTCCCGAAGTATTGTTTCTTGGTGGGAAAAGAGGGTTCCGATTTTCCTCGGAATTTAAAGCAGAATTCTGCAGCAACGAGATGTTACTATCTGAGAAACAAGAACTTCACATCAAAATGACAAAGCTCATTTCTTTATTGGAAGAGGTCAGTAGAACTATAAATTATGAACCAAAACGAATCTGAATCCTTCTGAAATTTTCACTGAATTTCTTTTCTTAGGTGGAAGAAAGATACGAGAGATATAGGCATAAAATGGAAGAAGTGGTATCATCTTTCGAAGCAATGGCAGGTGTAGGAGCAGTAAAATTTTATACTGCTTTAACTCTCCAGGCCATGTCCGGGCATTTTTGGAGCTTAAGAGACGCCATTGTAGCTCAGATAAACGTAACTAGGAGGAAGTTTATGCATGATTTGCCCAAGATCAGCACTGGGATGTCGCAACTTAGCTTGTTCAATAGAGAAAGTAGAAGCAACAGACTGTCCCTTGAGCAGCTTGGGTTGATGCAGCAACAGACGCAAGCATGGAGACCCATTAGAGGATTACAGGATACCTCTGTTGCCATACTCCGGTCTTGGCTTTTCGAGCACTTCCTTCACCCGTAAGTTTATCTGATTCTTAATTAATAAGAATTTAGTCGAATTGATATAGGTTAATCTTAAAAATTTAATTTTAACTTACCTTGAACTTCTACTAAAAGAACTTACAATGTGTTAAAACAAAATTTATTTTTCATTGTTTTTGTTATGCAATAAAGGTCTGAAATGGTTGGGAATTCTGGTTTTGAGCAGTTATCCTAGGGATTCGGAGAAGTTGATGTTGGCATCACAGACAGGACTGAGTAAAAACCAAGTAAGATGGTTGACAATCTTAGAGTTTATTATTGAATTATCTTCTGTTTTATTTTAGGGGTTAGTATTTGTCTCTTTTATTTTTCAAAAATTTGGAGGAAAAATAATAAAAAAAATCTTAATTTATGTTTTAAAAATAAAATATTTTAATTTTTTAATAAATATTAAAATGATGTAGTTTTTAAATAATATTTTTCTTAATTTTTAAAAAGTAAAACGGATAAATATTATTCTCTTTATTTTATATATGAATATTAATTATCAGTGATGGTAAACTCAGGCATCAAACTGGTTTATAAAAGCTCGGGTTCGGCTATGGAAGCCTATGATTGAGGAAATGTATAGAGAGGAGTTCAGGGAATCTGCTGAAGACATTGATCCATCATTGGCTAACAATTCTGTGGGGAGTGAAGCTGCCTCTGATCAGGCTGGTGATTTAAAGGGGAAAGATCAAGTTGATTAAAGATTTGATAAATGTGATTGGGCTGAAATTATATATCAGTGCATATTTGGAGATTAGCTTTTGTGGAGCATAAATGCTTAATGTCTCAGATTTGGAGAATTATGAATGTATAAGCATTTTTAATGAAAATTGTGGGAGTAGGAAGAAGGTGATGGAATTGAATTGATGAGACCTCATTGCTCAGTTCTGAGATTTCGAGGTTCTTTGTTTTTTTTTTTTTTTTTTTTTTGATAAATTTTCTCGGTTCTCTCATTAATGCTAAATTAGTTATATAAAAATGAGTAATAAATTTTTAATTAATTTTTTTAATTTAAGGAAAGGTACCATTTGATTATTTTATTAAATGTATTTTATGACAGATTAAAAAATATCATCAAATTATTGATTATTATTATTTCCTTCATTTAATTTTAATCGTCCTAGTTTGAAAATGAAAAGAAAAGAAAAGAAAAAAAAACCCATGACTAAAATTTACATTGTCATATGCAATTTTGTAGGCCATAAAAAAAAAATTATTTGCCATGCACCATAAAAATGAAAAGATCATACCCTAACCATAGCCCAAGTAGAGTCATTAGAGTAGGATTCATTTGTCAATATCTAACATAACTATTCCAAGTTTAGTTATACATAGTTTGCACATAAGTTTCACGACTCAACGGTCATAAATCGATTTGTAAGGTGCATTCTTCAATCCTTGAATTAGAGCTCTCTCTTAAAATTATAACCTTGTTAAAAAAAAAAAATTATGCATAGTTTATATATATATTATTTACATTAAATTTTAATTATTTATTTTTTAATTATAAAAAAATAAAAATCAATTACTGCTTTTTAAATAATTTTAACTTTTAAGCCTCTTACGTTTTTTTTTTTTTTGATTATAAGTTCATTACTATTAAACTTAACAAAAACTCAGAACCATCTCAACAATCTCAACCCACTTGCCACATAAAAATACACACATATAAACTAAAGAAATCGACACGTAAATCACCATCTAATTTCGTCTCTCAAGAGTCGTCCTCCATATCATTATTTTATTAATAAAGAGAGCTTATAATTGGTTTCATGAACTAATCAAACTCATTCATAACCGAACTAGATCAAATTTGATTTGATCTCCGTAAGAATGAGCCGAGCTTCTCATTTCCCACCAAACTTCAGGGTGCAATTTATTTCGAAGTACCAACGTACTGTTGTTTGGTGTGGAAATATTTTAATTTTTTTTAAATAACATTTTAAATTAAAATTTTTTAAATAAAGTAACAAGTGTTATAAATAAAATACCAGATGTTATAAAAGTTCTTTTTAATGGAATCTTACCTAATTTGATTTAGAATTAATTAAAATTCAGTTTAATTATCGTATATCAAAAAAGTTAATAAAAAAATATTTTGACGTGGCAAAATCACAGTGTAAAATGAACAACCGATTTCACGCTGTTAATTTGAGCCACGAACACCATAAAACTTCTCAGCAAAGGGGGAGCACGAAAATGCAACTTCCAGATGGTCGGATCACGAGTCACCCGTTTACTCACTCATTTACTCCTATTTTTATTTTTTATAAGAGAAATAAAAATCTAATATTAACCATATCAAAATATTTAATAAT